GATAAATTTCCCAATACCTCTGGGTACTGAATAAGCCAAGCGTCAGTGGCTGTTACAATTTTCTTGAGACAATCGGTGCTCTGCGTACAAAAGAAAGACGTCCAGCCACTACTGCTACCCTGGCCTGTCATTGAATTTATAAATTCAGAAATACTGTATTTCGTCACGCCTTCTAAGCATGATCTTTCATCCTGTTACATTTATGCAGATTACCAAGTACTCATGTTATGATCTGTAATCGACCACTGATCTATTCGCATTAAACTCTTGGAATTTTGATGTCAATGATGTGATGTTATTTTAAAAAAAATTAATATTTGAAACAATTATGAAGCAGTCATTAATATTGATTTTATTACCTGACATGATTAAGTGCTTTGCAATGAATGATTGTGATAGATAGGTAGAACCAATAAAAATACTGCAATATAGTTGAAGAGAACATGTTCCAAAATTAATACTGTCAATAACAAAAATCCTCCAACCAATCAGACAATATCCCTACAAAACCAATACTTGAAAATTAATCTGACGCTTACTAGTAACTGGCCCTATTTAGGCAGTTAACCTGGCGTTCTAGTGGGAAGCCATGACCAGTAGGGTACAGTAAGTCGAAGGTGACGACAGTTACTCATCGAAGAAGACATTGCTTAGTGGTTGCGCAATATCGTGAATTGGTAGAAGTTACAGTTTTTAGATTGGGTCCAAGTGGCTTAGTGGTCTATGAGCTCGCTAGCCTTGTAACCAGAAGGTCCTAGGTTCGAACTGTGGCGGTGGGCGTGCACTACTGTAGAGTCCCAAACCAGGCTAAGGAAACAGCTGTCTGACAGTACTCCCTGGTAGTTTTCCAATGGTTCTCTAAATGATTTCAGATCATGATGAAATCTCCCAACTAATCAAACAAAATTCCCTACAATGAAACCAATACTTGAAAAAAAAACAATAATTCTGTAGTTACTATGGATATGGAACTGTAGAACCTGATGAAGAAGTTACCGAAAAGAATACAAGTAATTATTTAGTTCAATCTATAGCGATAGTGAAAACATTCAATTAACCCAATGAAAGGAACAATGTGAATGGCAGTTGGATGCATGATAAGAAATACTAGTTCAAAACAAATTAAAGTTCAAATGGGCTTATACCAGATGCTAACAACGTGTGCTTGATGAATTTCATGAATCGATAAGTGGAAAATAACCATTTAGAATAGTAGATGTAATAGATATTCCTGTGGTTGGTTATATATATGCTAAATATTATCAGATTAAAAGAATTCCAAATATTCTTAAATAATCTCGTTTCTGAGTTTGAAAATGTATGGGATCAGAGAAAATGGATAAATTATAGAAACAATATTTTCTACTTCAGTGCTTATAAAGAAGAAACACAATAGCGGACGTGGTGGAGCTAAACACGTTTGGTTATCGGGAATTTATGACACCCAAATTCAGAAGGGATTGATTGAACTTATTCGAGACAGGAGTGCCTACACTCTTCTGCTTATTATTCAAAGATTAGTTTTGCCTGGCATTACTATACACACTAATGAATGGGTAGGATATAACCACTTATCGGATTTAGGATATATACACAACCGAGTTAACATTTTTCTAACTGGTCGGCTCAAGGTCACTTGTGCGTTCGCATCACTTGAAACGCTATTGTAGAACTTTGCCAGAAACTTGGTGATGTGGCTGAAAATTGTTCTCGATGGTTTAGATGCATTCACTCTTTTGTGATGATATCCTTCTTGGTCTTCCATGTTACATTGTGGTGAGAGCTGAATGTTAGTCAAAATTGGTGAACGGTAATTTACGTCAATGTTTATGTCCCCAATAGTGGTCGTGAGAAAAATGAGAACAAAGGCTTTGCATAGGCGGATACAGTTAACACATAGATGATCTGACATTCAAGAAACAACCACAAAGAGATGCAAGGTTAACTTTCTGTGAGTAACAACCAATCAGAAGACTGTGTTTGTCAGCTAACAATAATCTATAATATGTACATGAAAATCTATAAATATGTGTTGATTTCCTTAATAAAGGATTTGTTGCCTGGGCCTTGTCTTCTGTTGTTACACTAGTAGTCCGATCTGAGGAGTCCAGCAATTTCATTCATTCTGCTGAAACCTTAAGAGTACCACGGAATAAAGGATACTGTGTTAACGTCAAAGAGGAAAAAGAATAGTGGGAATAAAGAAACTCTTTAAACAGCACTCATCACTGAAGTTTACATATTTAACCTCGCAAAAACTTAATGCTGTAGAGAAATATAAAGGCGAGGTCGAATGTATGCTGACTGAATACCGATACTGACTTTTGAACAGACCATTCAGCATTTAGGACTAAATTCAAGTTCACTGTATTAGGCTACGAAAATTGACGAAATATACAATACGACATCATTACGAGCAGGAACATCTATCAATTAAACTTTCTGATGAACTTGAAACATGAACTGGCTTTAGTCTATATGTATGAGAAAATGTCGAATGATAGCCTATGTTTTTCGGTTGCTAATCAATAAGTTTATAACTCTCTGTTGATTGAATCGTACGTCTAAAACTGTACTGAAAGGCAGATCATCATAATACTGTTTGATGAAAGTAAATTTGATAGACATTATTACCCATCATGGTATATCATAAAGTTCATAATAACTATGATGAGAGATTTTTTACTTATTTTTCATTATTGTCAAGGTTATTCATTCATGCGTTAAACAAATGATTATTAGTATTACTGCAGAAATGAAACTTAACTTGCGTCGAAGAAGAAACTCTACATGAACTTGGATTTTAAGGGAGATTTAACAAGCTATTGTCTCAAGAGAAGGATCACATCATCTCTGAGAAGAACATTCTTTGCAGCCACTCTAATAATAGTGTTCTCCAGTTGCCAATTGATATTCAGAAGCCTTAAGGATAAGATCGAACATCTAACCACTTCTATGTGCATGTATCAGTTCACCTGCTGCTGTGAAGCCAGGTACATCGGTCGTTCAACGCGCATCCTGTCCAAAACGATTCAAGAGCACTATCCAAAATGGTTGCGAAAAGACAATAGTGGTGCTATAAGGAGTGCGATAATTGAACACCTGGTTAACACTGATCATTCCATCTCAACAAACGCCTCCTCCTTACAAATAATCTACAGAGTCTAGAATAACCTACCAAAGGCAATACAATCTCGTCTTTTTGTATCGCTGAAGCTCTGGCCGGAGCTGTATATACAAAAGAGAATTTCGCTTTTTTGCCTGTTTTTTTAATTGTTTATAATTGTTGTTTTCATTTAGAACTCTGGCGTAATTTCGTATTCTCTACTTTGTTCCTATGTGTATCCTGAGTACAACTCAACCATCAAATTATTCAATTATTATGTAACTCCTTTTTAACAACAGTTTGTCACAACTCATCATCTTTGTTAGTACACTAGTTTCATGAACACCCAAATTTCTTGACCGTTTTTGTACTACGTCACTCTACGCGAAACTTACTCATTTTCACCTGTTTAGTTATTATTTATTTTATTTTTTTATTTTTGATTACAGCTTGATTCCACACCGTATTTATGGTACAAGTATGGAATTTTCAGCGTGTATATCGGTAGCCCCAAATTTCGCAGGCCGACCATAGACATCAGGTGTGCGTCGGCGTGGGCTCGAACCCCGGGCCATGTGCATGGTCGGCGAGAGTTCGAACCACTGTGCCATAACCATAACCAATTGTATTTTTGTTTGACATTCTTAATGTACACATACATACAAAATAACATATATATATTTGCGATTGTACAGCTAAGAAATTGAATTCTCTGAAAAGAGACTTTTCACTGAACTACGTGTCTTGTTTTGATTAATGCTTAGATGGGGATTATTCATAAATCACTGGTACGACAAAAGGTTGAACACTTTATTAAAATAACAATGTTTTAAATCCTCAATGCTCATCGGTGAAAAATTTTATTTCATATTTTGTGTGTAGACATTTCCTTAAAATAGTATAACACTGATAGATCTTTCGGAAAATATGATACAAGTACACTTATAACATAATCATTTCACCACATTAGTCAGTTTCATAAGATTATGCTTTGTCACCAGTTCAAAACCAGCTATCATTTCAAAAATCATTCGTGAGTGACAAAGACAACGATTAATAAAACAAGTTATTCACAACGAATAAAAATCACAATAAAGGCTTTAAACTCAAATAATTCCCTAGTGAAACTTGAAATAAATCAAATCCCTACAAACTGACTATTGAAAATTATTCTGATGCTCACTAGTGATTGAGGCCACAGGACGGAGTATCCTGGAGTTCTAGTAAGAAGTCGTGACCAGTGGGGTCCATCCAGTTTGAAGTGAGAAGAAATACTCGCCAATGATGACAATGGTTGGTGGTCACGCTAAAATCACGAATTCGTTGAAGTCAGAATTTATGGGCTGGTCATCAAATCGGGTCTCAGTGGTCTAAGAGCTCCACTTGTAACCAAAAGGTCCTGGGTTCAAAACCCAGTGGGTACATACAGCCAACCAGTACTCCTTGGTTCCCAGTGGTGCTCTAAGTGTAACCAGTCCGTGATCAGGCTTGAAATTTACAAGTGTGTTATTTTATACCTTCTAATATAAAATTATGGTATTAATTTGCCTGTTATGCATAAGTAGCTACAAGAAGAACATCAAAGACAACTCCTAAGTCAAATGATATTGCAAAGAAGCAAGGAGTAAAATAAAAACTGATCACTAGATGCTTTAGATTTTTTTTAAATTTTCCACTCAGCTGGACTAGGAATGAAGCATGGCTGAATGTGTACCATGAGTTCGCACCCCAAATAGCAGAGAAATTATATTTCTCTGCTTCATACATATATTTTAGAATCAGACTGATTAGTACGAACCGATAATAAGTGAGCATAGGAAAGACATAGATACGGACAAAATTAAAATATATCAGTACATATATATATATATATATATATAACCAGTAAACTGACCTAAACGTTTTGCACTGGTATTTGTCAGCTTATTGTGGTGCTGTGATATAATTATACAATCACAGTTTATTCGAAGAAATATTAGTAGATTCACAATCAGAAATAGTTGCAATCGGTATAGAACATTTCCATTGATCTTCAACCCCAACATTCACTGGAACACTATTTGTTTTATGTTCACCACTTACAGTATTATTTGGATTTAATACATCAGTGCCTAATTCATCAAGGTTTAAATTATCTTGGCTTACAAATGTAGTTGATGTATTTGAATGATGTAAGCCTTCAATGGTTGATGAATTACGCTTTAATACTGGAGAGTCTAAATTTGTGTTGATATTGAAGCTATTTCCAGGATCCCTATCATCATTATCATTATCACAGTGTTGATCCACAGGCTGTTGAGAGGTACTCGACTTCATGATTGAAGTTTTTGATGATGATGATGACGATGGCATTGGGTAATCATTTATTGTAACTTTACATTTCTGTTAAGAAAAGAAGGAAATTAAACAATTCGTTGTCTGTACCTGAGTGAATAAATTTATGAAATGTTTACATACTTGAAACTCATTTGTTAGGTGTCGAATCACTCCACATTCGGGTTTTGTATTGCTTATGCTTCTGGTCATAAGTCAACACACTTTTAATTATATCGAAGATAACCCATCATAGAGTTCGTAAACTCCTGAGATAATTAAACGGATTCATTATACATGGAATCGGGCGAAAGATACAGGCAAAACGCAACTCATGCATTCTCTGTATATGGAATTGAGAATCGAGAAAGTGCATTTACGAAGAGAGACTTTTTCAGAAAGTTTTCTTTACTTCTATTTCAGATTAGAAAATATATTTCTACTATACATGTGACAAAACCGAATAAATCACGTACAGAGGAAAAATAATTTTATCGTCTTCTCTTTTCATTACCTTGCCTGGATGAAGGAAGATTTCCATAGACAACTGAAAGCAATAACGGAAAACATCTTAAGTGGAGACATCAAAATCCTTATGGGCGATATGAATGCAAGCCAAACTGGGAGCCCACAATATAGGAAGATGACCAATATTGGGTCGAGAGGCTGTCGGTAAAAGTGCTAGCAATGAAAAACTCTTCGCAGACTTCTGTGCTTTCAATGATTTGGTCATCGGAGGCAGTGTGTACAAACACACAAAGCAACATGGATCTCGCCTGACGGACACGCCACAAACCAGAGAGATTTCATCTCAATATTAATCAAGAAAGCGGAGACACAGCTTGCTGTATACAAAGTTGAGAAAGGGAGCAGATGTGGGCTCAGACCATTATCTAGTTCAAAGAACCTTCAAGATGACGCTGAAATCCTTCAGAACAAATGGAGACAGGCCACTGTGATTCAAGTTCAACACTCAGAAACTGATGGGCGAAACTACAAAAGATATCTTCGCTGCATCCATTAGAACAAAGTCGGAGACAATACGTGGTATCACTGAGAAAGCCTGCGTGAAAAAACATTGGAACTCTCTGAAAGCGACATTTAAGGAAATGTGTACAACTGTTCTAGGAAGAAAGAAGAGACAAGACAAAAAATGGATCTCAACGGATACCTACCTGGTAGCTAACAGAAGAGAGGACGATGGTGAGAGAGAAGATGACTCAATGCAAAGATGGACAAGAGAAGGAGAAGCTGAGTTTAATGTATATCGCAATGAATTAAGAAGTGAAGAAGAGTGCTAGGAAAGACAAAAGACAATTCTAAGACATACTGGCCGGCAGCTGAAGCAGAACAAATCGCAAGCTGTAGGTAAAAGAGACCTGAGGACGTTATATCAGACTGCCAGGTCTCTATCCTGGAAGGCATCAATGCAGGTGAAAACCATAAAAGATTTTCAAGGGAACCTAATTACTCAGTAGGAGACAAATAAAACAACAGGCTGATCACTTCAAAGGACTCCTGAATCGACCATTATCTGCAACTCGCCCAGAAATACCACCACCAGCAGGCACAGAACTGCCTGCCAGTGGACACCAATCCTCCAACGGAAGACGAAATTCTGAATGCGATCAAGCTACTTAACACCTACCAGGAAGGCAGCAGAGCCAGATCGAATTGCCCTCAAAGCACTGAAGACGGACCCAGAGGTTACGGCAGATATTCTCACGTCATTATTACAAAAAAATTGGAAGGAAGGGAAGGTACTTACTGACTGGAAGAAAGGCTACCTCCTCAAGCTGCCAAAGAAGGGCTACCTAGTTAGGCCTCTGCAAGAACTGGTGTGGAGGAATGCTCTTATCCAAGCCATGTAAAATACTGAGTTGCACCATTCTGGAGAGAATAAAGGATGCACTGGATGCAGAACTACGTCAGCCCGGAATAAGATGGATTCAAATACATCAACTTCGAGAAGGCCCTCAATAGACAGCGTTCACCGAGAAGTAATTTGGAAACTACTTCAACACTATGGTGTGCCGTACCCAAGTCTTTATCAACTTCATTCAACAGCTGGCTATATGACATTGCCACGTGTCAGTCAGGTGACCCACAACGGAAAACTCAGAGGAGAAATCGAAGTGAATACAGTAGTAAAACAAGGCTGCCTATGTTCACCGAAAAAATCTCCCGTTGTCGTGGAATGGATTATGAGTCAGACTTTACGTTGGGAGTGAGAAGAAAGGAATACGTTGGTCCGCCAATAAGAAGACTCTGGAAAATCTGGATTTCGCAGATCACACACAGACTCGAAGACTTACAGGCGTAAACCGACAATGTGGCTGAAGAGGCGAGCGGGAAATACAGGACCCCAGGTGAACATAGGGAAGGTGATGAGGATAACCAATTACCATCAACAGCAACAACAACCAGCATCAACGGGAGAAATTTGAAAGCGGCTTCTTTCATTTGTTTAGGAAGCATCGTTTAAAACATAGGCGGGACTGACGAAGATGTCAAAGAAGGCCGGAATTGGAAAGGCAAGATAAGCCTTCACTAATCTGAAATCGGTTTGGGAATCTTCTGCACTCCACCATATAAAAATCAAGTTTCGGATCCTATTCAGCACCAATGCGAGGTCAGTGATGTCAGTTCTTATATACGAGTCAGAAATTTGTACTGCGTGTCACGAAATGGATTTCCAGCAGTCTACTGAAGTCTTTTATCAACAGTTGCCACCTTCGCTGGCTGGCTCCATATTGAAGATCAAATGACCAGCTGGCCAGAAAGAATAAGCAGCAAAAAACCCTGGTTGACAATAATCCGACCAAGAGCTGTCTGTTCAACAAATATGTAAGGGAAAATGGAGATGGATTGGGCATACGCAGAGGACACTGTCGAGTGACAACAGGTCCTCGAGTGGGAAACGACTAGTGGGTCATCACTTCGAGGGTGACATGGAGGATAGCGTGAAAGGAGGCGATTTGAGATTATGGGCGATCACCGACCCTATTGAAGAAGACGGGGAAAACAGAAGAAAGTGGAGATGTGTTGTTGAAGCCCTATGTTTCACTCAGGACCCAAGAGAACAATAATAATAATAATTCCGCATCAAGTAAAAGTTGAAAAAGTACAGTAATATAATCGAAATGGGTGGAATGCTTAAACAGAAAAGCAAGCGAAAGTAAAGTAATACGAAGTCACAATTAAGATGAACGCAAGATGCGATTGCACCTGTGTCACTGATATCAACCTTAAGTGATATCACCTAAAATCGTTGACCAAATGAAAGGCTATACCATTTATTTAAATCATACTTACAATAGTCTGCACAACGATGACTTGTGATTACTTGTCTGATGTATAGTTTTTTTGAATAAAGACATGAGAAAAGTCAAACCAACCAACACATAGGTCTTAAATAAAATAAAGGTATTTATTTCCTAATACCGGTCAACTAACCAAATAGGCATATCCTGGATCGACGTGAAGAACCTAGAAGACCTGGATTTCACGTGTGGATGATTTATGTTTGATGTCACACAAAATCGAAGACTTACGAGCGAAAACCGAAAGACTGGTCGAAGATACAGCCGGCGAAGATAGGACTCCAGGTAAAACATAGACAAGACGGAGGTTATGAAAATAACCAACAAACAACAACAACAGCAGCAACATCCAGCGCCAATCACCATCAACGGAAGGGATTTGAAAGAGGTTACTTCATTCACTTCACCTATCTAGGGAGCATTGTCTCAACTACACGAGGAACGGACGAGGATGTCAAATCGAGCGAGAATCGGGAAGGCGAGAAACACATTCATCAACCTGAAACAACCAATCTGGAAAGCTTCGTCACTCAACTCAGCATCAACAACAAAATTCGGTCGGATTTTCAATACAAACAACATCAAGTCAGTTAGTTCTTCTATACGGATGAGAAACTTGGAGGGTGGGTCACAAAGAATATTTCCAACAGCTTGTTGCAGACGTTTATCAACCAACAACTGTCTTCGCTGGATCTATACTGAAGATCAGATGGCCGGGCCGGAAAGAATCTCCAACAAAAAACTATGGGAACGAACAAACAAAACAAGAACCAATCAATGGCCCAATAAATGTGCAGGAGAAAGTGGAGATGGATTGGACACTCATTCGTTGTTGAGGCCGCTGGGTGACATCGCGTGCGCGTCAGGCCATTGCTCGAGTGGAACCAGGCCGAAAGGGAAGCGGCGAGTGGGACGTCAGTGCAAGGGTGACATGGAGGAGATTGTGGATGCAGGTGAAAAGCACAGCAGAAGGAAGATAGAAGCAAGTGGAGACGTGCAGCTGAAGCCCTATGTTCCACTAGGAACCCAAGGGAAAAATTATAATAATAAGCAAATAGAAAATGTACTTAAAACACCTATAAAGAATATCTCAAGAAAATGACATTTAATTAAAACTGACAAAGTATATAATATTCATTAGAACTTACATCAAGTTTACATTTTTCATAAGGTTCTCCCCATTCCTTATCTGTTTGACGATCTAATATTAGCACACGTTTATCTCTTACAAAAACACGAGGCTTTGAAACTCCAGAAAGATTTAATTTTGGTTGGTTTATTACTATATCCGGTGATCTCTGAGAGGATGAAAAATTCCTTTCTCCAGAACAGAACAGAGCAGGTGAATGCTCTGGAGTATGATGAACATCTTCACTATCAATAAATAAGGTGAATGTTGGTTTATTAGGACAGAGATTATTTGTACATTCAACAGATGACATTTCATAATTACACTGCTTTACATTTTTTGTTGACTCTTTCCCTAAAGACTTCAATTGTTTCCAAATTCGATGTATGGGATTTTTATACATTGTATCTGGTAATATTTCCTCATTTTCTGACGGCATTTTAAGCGTGGGCGAGGGTTCATACTCAGATTCGACAACACCAATTCTTCTTTGATTAACTAATCCATCACATGCTTGGAAATGACTAGTTTTATGCGATGGATCAAAAGTTTTTTCTCCTAACAAATCAGGTACACTCCTGCGTCCAGCGACTGGAGAGTAGGCAAGCAGTTGAACTGCATTTTTTGAGGTAAGATTTGAACGAATAAATTTTGAAATACCAGAATTATGTGAATTAGGATTTTCAAATGTTGTTAGAGATGATGTTCGAGGTGGTCTTTTAGGTAAAGGTGTAATAAATATATCACGAACTGCTCTGAATTGACCACAATTATTCAAGTGTTCATTTTCCAATCGAAAGAAATTCCATATAAAACGTCTTTAGAAGAAGAAGAAGTAGAGGAAGAAAGAAAACAAACATAAAAGCAAATTCATTTTTTAATGTTTATTTTATTGCCATGACATACAAAAATCCAGAAAAACATGACTAGATGTATAAAATTGATTGAAAGCCTACCATAACTGATTGGTGTTTAAATTAGCCTCTGTAAAATATTAATGATAAAATACAGAGAAACATTGTTGCTTGTTTTACTTTACCACCGTTGAAAAATACCGAGAAGTCGTGATTAGTAGGGTGCAGCAGGTGGGGTGTGAGGACAAATACTCGCCACAGAAGACATTGGTAAGTGGTCAAGCTATGTCGTGAGTTGGCAGAAGTTAGAAATCATGGACAGGCGACTGGATCGGGTCCCAGTGGCTTAATGGTATACGAGGTCGCCTTGTAACCAGGAGGTCCTGGGTTTGAACCTCACTGTGTAGAGTGCACACTGATGAAGAGGCCCTAACTAGGACGAAACAGCTGTCCAGTACTCCAAGCTTGTTTTCCAATGGTTCTGTAACCTCTGTCAGCTCATGATGAAATCATGTAACAAATACCGATTTGTTAAGCACCTTTAAGATATTCTAGATGTCAGTGATAAAAAATTCTTCAGCATTCTAGGTTCACTTCTCAAGTTTATTCGCTTTTCTCATATACATTCAGAACGAAATAGCGATAGTGGTCTTAATGGTTTACGAGCTCGCTGCCCAGAAGGTCCTGGGTTCAAACCCCGATGGGTGCATACTACTGAGGAGTCCCAAACTAGGCTGACGAAACAGCTGGCTGTCCAGTACTCGCAGCCTTTTTTCCAATGATTCGCTAGCCGATATCAGTTTATGATGAAATCCTGAAATCAAATCAACACCTGAATTATTAGTCTGTTGCTAGAAATAATCCGCTTTTTGTGCTGCCATTACTTTTTTTTTCTCAAAAAATTATAAACTTATGTAGTTGTGCAGTCGAAAACTGTTTTTAATCCTTATTTAAATGAAAACAGCGAGGGAGAGAGAAGAGTCTTCAGGGGGATACTACTCCACAGAACGCATACGCAGTGTCTGAAATACAGTGATTAATTATCGCTAGACTTCTATTAGATTTTGACGAAAACTGTGTCATACATTCACCAGCTGTGCGACTTGTCTTCATGTGACTTAAAGATCAATAGCTTTCAACTATCTTTCTTATAGTTTTCAACAGACTTCTCACTTAAATTAATTTTAACAATCACGTATATTGTAGTCACTGATAATACATGTTGCAGAATTAAAACAGTAAAGTATACCTAATTTTATTGAGAAGCGAATATATTCATTCTCATAAATCCATCTAATGTATGAAAATTTGTTAATTTGAGTAGGACAATTCTCATTGATTATTTAAGAATATTAATAATAGAAAGTACTGTTTTAAGAAGGTAACTACTTACACTTTTCTCCTTCAAGAACTGAAAGCTGTTACTCCTAATGACTCCCAAGCCCCCCCTCCCCAAATATAACATCAAATTATGAGTCTGTTTTCAGTAGTACAGGTAAGGTTGAGGAGTTTCAAATTTGCTCACACACATGCCACGAATTCATTCTTTCATATCATATTATCTTAATTTTTTTAAGAGAATGAAGTAACTTTCATTGCCACTTATGCAAGTGATAGACACCACTTGGAAGACTATTTGAAAATATAGGCGAATCCTTTCTTTCTGTGCAATAACAGTTATAATCAAGGTAGAGACAATGCATTCACATAACCCCTTCAAATTTCTTCTATTTCCCTTGCGTCCCAAGTGGAGCATAAGGCTTCAAACTTTGCGGCTTCAGCAGCAGTGGTATGGTTTGCTTTTACAGGATAAGGTTGCTAGCCTCAAACCCAAACAGCCCTCCTTCCCGGGCTTACACCTGCTAGTAAGCTAGCCAAGCTTTAGGCATGTGTCGGCTGGAAACCGAACCCGGATCTTCCGCATCGCTAATGACAATTCTACCACTAGACCACAAATACTCGAAACTGCTTCCATCTTTATTATTATTATTGTTCCCTTGAGTTCCCAATGGAACATAGGGCTTCAACTGCACGTCTCCACTTGCTTCTGTCTTCCTTTTGCTGTACTTTTCACCTGCATCCATCTTAGTCCATACTCTTTCAACTCCTCTTCACACGATCTCCTCCATGTCACCCTTGCACTGACGTCCCACTCGCCGCTTCCCTTTCGGCCTGGTTCCACTCGAGCAATGGCCTGACGCGCACGCGATGTCACCCAGCGGCCTCAACAACGAATGAGTGTCCAATCCATCTCCACTTTCTCCTGCACATTTATTGGGCCATTGATTGGTTCTTGTTTTGTTTGTTCCTTCCCATATTTTCTTGTTGGTGATTCTTTTCGGCCCGGCCATCTGATCTTCAGTATAGAGCCAGCGAAGACAGTTGTTGGTTGATAAACGTCTGCAACAAGCTGTTGGAAATATTCTTTGTGACCCACCCTCCAAGTTTCTCATCCGTATAGAAGAACTAACTGACTTGATGTTGTTTGTATTGAAAATCCGACCGAATTTTGTTGTTGATGCTGAGTTGAGTGACGAAGCTTTCCAGATTGGTTGTTTCAGGTTGATGAATGTGTTTCTCGCCTTCCCGATTCTCGCTCGATTTGACATCCTCGTCCGTTCCTCGTGTAGTTGAGACAATGCTCCCTAGATAGGTGAAGTGAATGAAGTAACCTCTTTCAAATCCCTCACGTTGATGGTGATAGACGCTGGTCGTTTTTCGGTGGCACAGTGGTTAGTACACTCGCCGACAATGCACATGGTCCGGGGTTCGATCTCCGACCGACCACTCTTTTAAACTTCGTCTAGATTACTAGCTCGCTAGTTTTCTAGCCGGTCCTAAGCCCGGGTAAAGAGGGAGGGCTGGGGCGTGGTGCTAGCAACTCCAAAACTTAAACAAATTGCTACAGAAACTTCAGCGCATAAATATATTAAAAATAAAAAAATATATAAACAATGCTTCCATCTAATAGTTTTAAACATTGAATTTTAAGTCATATAGTTCCACCTTCTAGTCAGTTACACTCAAATAGAGATTCAACATACGGTTAAAAACAATTGTTATAATATTCATCCTTAACTGCTATTAGTATTATTGGCTATCTGGAACATTCCAAAGTTGGAAATCTTTGATTAACTTTTACGATTTCAGAAGTATCTTGACAAAAACAATCAAAAATAGTACACACATGTATACAAAGGGAAAAACTTGTATTTTCCACTTTAAAGAACCTTGTAACGAATCCATTGACGATCATTGGGTTTGCTGAGGAGTCAAATAACTATTCTGATGAGATCTTAATGTTATTTTTCAAGTATAATCATTTAATATACAATTGGTGGATGGTGGCTAGCAGTGGAATCCAGGATGCGCATTTCGTCCTATTTGTGACTCGCCATCTGGATGTACCTGCATTTCTCAGTGAGTGATGATGTTCCCACCGAGGTTCGAACACAGTGCCTATAGTTTCAAATGCCAAAGCGTTATATACGAGGCCACTTGGGCCACGAGAGCCACCTCTTGTGCAACGGATCAAATTAAATATTGAATTGAATTTTTGATTTTCCTGTCAATTGATTGGACCGAAGTACTCGTTCTCAGGTTGCCATGTCGGCTTCTTGTGCAGATGCTTCGACGATGTCTGGTTATTTAATTAGTATACAATTGTATACCCAGACATCGTCGAAGCATCTGCACAAGAAGCCGACATGTCAACCTGAGACCGAGCACTTCGGTCCAATCAATCGACGGGAAAATCAAAAATTCAATTCAATATATAATCATTTAAGTTATACCATACTATCCTGACTCCATATCTTTATGTATCTAGTCGTATAATCCTCGTCTTACATTTCTATCAGTTTATTATCTCGTAACTGAGTACTCTTCTGTATTCCGCCTTTAAATGATGCATTATCATGATTATTTGTGCTCTAGTATGCTAAATATTATCAAAAAAGCTAAGTGCATACATTGTTATCAACTTACCGAATAACTTCAAGCGTATACAATATTGTAACAATTATCTCCATTCTATCATATCCATAACGTAGAAAGAATAAACGAATAATCCAAGTTAAACGAAATATTAAATCTTCAGCAATTGCAATGAAATAATAAGCTTTATATCTGTAGACTAGTTCATCACGTAGTAAATTATTTTCTGATTGACAGTCTAACAGACCCCAATCCATTAAAATATCCCAAGCGTATGTATAACTGGATCGAATAAAACTGGAAATAACATATGCTACTAGTGGAAACGTGCCGTCTAATAGGAGAAAGAAAAAATACACAGAAAAAAATATCATTAGTGAAAGCTTATGATGCATAGGAAATTCTATTGCTTTCCTCTGTTATTTTGACAGTATTGTGGTGAGAGCTGCCTGCGTACAAGCCAAAATTGTAGACAACAATTGACATCAATGTTACGTCTCGAATCGGGGTTATGAGGAAAAAATAAATAACAAAGTTTAACCTTAAGCAACTCAACAACCAATCATAGCAGACTTAACCTGGACAAATAGGATTCGCAGATATATGGCTTAACTTTCTGAAAAATGGTCACAAGTGGTACAGAATAACCTTCAGCAAGAAAATAACCAATCAGAAGAAAGTGCTTCTCCGCTGACAATAATGTACATGAAAATCTATAAATATCTCTTGATTTTCTCACTAAATGATCTGTCGTCTTGCCCTTGTCTTCTATTGTTGCAATGCGACTGAGTAAAGCTCAGTAGACGTATGTTTAATTATCAAATTAAGAATATCAAATACTAAGCTTTCACCACACAACCGTTCTTTTTTTTGGCTTCAGTTATGAATATACCTGCATACATACATCTGTCAATAAATCGACATCATCTTAAGCAATCTAACACAATACATCTCTATTCCTTCAGTAGCACATTTAAACACATGCACACAAACAAAAATCGATATATAAAGTCAGACTTAAATGATCCCTATAAATCAGAAAGAACAGAATGTTTTTTAACACTGGTTATTTTTAAACTGGTTAATTTCCAAGTTTCTATTTTACAGTCTACTACATATAAAAAAAAGGTGGAGAGATTATCCACAAAGAGATTAAGCTATTTTTTTTCAAAGTTTCGAAGTTTGCAGTTCATCAAAGTAAAACATTCAGGTGTTTTCATCAAATATTCTGTTCATAATTAGAAATTATTTAAAATCTAAGCTTTAAATAATGCTTTCATCATTTCCAAGGTGTCAAGCACTCAGCTACACATGACTTCATCTTCTGTATAAAGTATCAGAATTGCTGCATCGGTGGTTCAATGGTGCACTGCTTGTCAACTAAACAAGTGGTCCAAGTTCGATTCCCGACCAATGCACTGCTGAACCTCGTTAAAACAATAGTAAACTCAGTAGAGAGCAAAGGCTGGGCGAAAAATAGTAATTCTATCACTACTGAAACTTATAAAACTCAAGCTTAAATCCCTATGTTCCACTCAGAAACGCAAATTAACGGAATTCCTGAAAGAATTATTCAACAGCTGCTGATGATACTCACAATCAAGCTATTGGAACATAGATCCAAGTAAATACCTGCATAATAGTATTCTAGGCGTGACATCAAACTGTCATTTATTTATGTATGATCACAAGTAGTATTCAAGTCTTGTTTTATTCCTTCAAGTTTCTAGTTGAAAACAGATCTTCAGTCTAGCGCTTTGAAGTTTCAGTAGCAGTGGTGTTTTCTTTCACGGGGTGAGGTTGCTAGCCTCGCGTCTAACCTTCCGTCTTTGTCGGGACTGCAACCAGCTAAGCGAAGTAAAGGTGTGCACCGGCTGGGACTTGAACTCCAGATCACGTGCATGTTCGACCAGGGTTCTACCGCAGAGCTACTGACGCATCAATATTCAAGTTAATAATGGATAAATGTATATGATTGGAGCTTACATCTTTCATATGTGTTTTATAGAAATCATTAATTCACTTAACAAGTATGAATGTAAAAATGTAGAATGTGAAGCGGAAGTTATTGAAATAAATATTCTGTGTGCAATAATCTATACTTTTTTATTACACCTTGATTCCACACTGTATTTTGGGTACAAGTATGAAATTTCCAGGATGTGATATCGGTAGCCCAAATTTCGCAGGTCGACCATAGATATCAGGTGTGCGTCGGCAGCGAATCAAACCTCGGTCCATGTGCATGGTCGGCGAAAGTCCTAACCATTGTGCCACCGAAGCACTTCTTGAAATATAGATGTATTTCAGAGTTAAAGAACTATGAATTTAATGACTACGCATTAACATGCCAACAGCGAATTCGCAAGTGTAAGGCAGTCATCAAAATATTTCTAAGATGTATCAAGGTTCAAGTAGCCTGAAGGAAATATAATTTCTAAATAAATATTGTATTTCCCTTCTCTAAGAATAACAGTCTATACAGTTAACTTCGGTACGTACAAGTTTTAACTTGATGGCTAAACTTAAATTTAAGTATTTAAGCATTTTCAAGTATTGGTTTTTGTAGGAATTTTGTTTGATTGGTTGAATGATTTCATCATGAGCCGACATCAGTTAGAGAACCATTGGAAAACAAGCTGACTGTACTGGACAGATGTTTCGTCAGCCTAGTTTGTAACTCTTCATCAGTACGCATCCACCACCACAGTTCGAACCCAGGACCTTCTGGTTACAAGGCCAGCGAGCTCATAGGCCATTAGGCCACTGGGACGAGTCCCAAACTAGGCTGAGGAAACAGCTGGCTGTCCAGTACTGTCAGCTTGTTTTTCAATAGTTCTCTAAATGATGTCAGCTCATAATGAAATCCTTCAACTTATGCGTTACATATTTCAATTAAATGTAGACGCTAGATTTCTCCGACTAATGCATACCTTGCTACACCAACTAAACTATGATTATTCACATTTACTGAATTTCCCTCTCTCTCTCTCTTCTCTAGACATGAAGTGTATAACAGCCAATTCATCTGTCAGACATTTTTTGTTTACTTATCCTTTCAGAAACCAGACATCATAATTATAAATTTCACTAAGCCTGATAGCACAGATATTATAAATCTGTAATCAGTTTAAGCTATACAGTTAGTTATACATACCAAAACAATCAACGAAAGAAAAATGTATATCCGTAGTTCTATATGTGTTTTTTTTTCTTCTTTTCTTAGCAAATAATTTTTTTTATCAAAGAATTTCATGGAGCTAGTTAGTTAGTTATCTGCTTGAAGATTATTTTTATTATTATCACTATCATTAGTACTCTTTTTTCTTTCTTCTAATAGATGTATGTAAATCAGCGGTAACGTATGTATGTATGTATACAGTAGAAATCATGTGATGTAATCAATAATTGACTTGTCTAAATTACAACTGAAAATAACCTGAATTTAGATGTCTGTATATTTTATTACTGAAAGAATGTATATTATAGCACTCACTATTTTACAAATATGTTGTACATTATATTTCTTTAAAAAAAAAAGTGGATTAGTAACAATTGACATTAACGAACACAGGAGGTCAATCGCGAGTCCGAATAGCTTGCTCAGTGGTAACGTCTCTGACTGCAGGCGGAACTGGGTGACGTGAGTTCGAGTCTCCTCAGAAGGGACATGAGTTCCCTTAAGGTTGCAGATACGCTTTGCTGACTAGTGAGGGCCAACTAGCACGAAACCTAGGTCTAGGTAGGGCTTCCTGCCGAGTGCCTCCAACTATCTAATATCATCAGGTCACTGTGTGCACCGTGATGGCGTGCTACCTAGAATGGTGGCCACATTGCAAACCTGACTGATAGAATTCAGTCTGCACCAAACAAAGGACTAGACAAATCACACTAGTTACTAGTGTCCAATCAAATTAACTAACACTATTATCAGTTAACACTCTTTTAAAGCATCTCATTTCTTATAGACAAAGAAATGTGCATCATTAATTCATGGTCATAACATTAAGGTTATATGTTTACTATGTTACTGGTAGCAAAATGGTCATGATGTGGTTATGATGACATTAAATGGTTGGAGGCAATCGGCCACAGGAAGTTCAGCCTTGAACCTAGGTTTCGTGCTAGTTGACACTCATCAGTCAGAAAGGCGTATCTGCAACCTTGAAGGAATTCATATCCCTTCTGAGGTTCGAATCCGCGCCAATCAGTGATTGCTGCAGTCAGAAACGTTTACCAGTGAGCTATCATTATCATTCAAAAGTGGATACTGACTTTTCCAGCTTAGGTTGACTGGTTAAGGTGAAAGCAAGAGGTCAAGCCACCTTGCCATTTACAACGCTATCATGTTATGTCCATGCAGGATCCTTAGTTAGCTAAGTTTACAACACTGCTCAGCACTACGGATACTGGAATATATTTTATATTTTGAGTTATTTTAGATGGTGGAATTGCATGAACTATACGGAGTAATTTGATGGACACACATTACTGGATATGGTTCAAAACCAGAATTATACACATTAATGAGATACTGTTCTAGTTTCCTTTATTACTGAAATATTATATAAAATCCATGAATACTCATTTAGATCTTTAAGTTTTGAGTTCATCCACCCGACCCATATTAGTCTGGTTAAATAATCTGGTGTATTTCCATGATCGTCACAGATTCCTTAGGATGACATATTTTTTTTAAAAAGATAGACACATCAAAGGGGAACCGAAGTTTAAACTATCACGCTTAGCAAGGCGAGAAATGAAGAAGTAAAGAAAAATCAAACAATAGTGAAATTAAAGAGGGTACTAGATGAGAAAATGTAAATACCAATTTATGGAAATGTTCACGACTTCTGAAATTACAGGATGAATATCTGCCTTAGGAGACGGCTGTAAGAGACATAAATAATCTCAGGTCTGCAGCCCACACTTTTCTACATGATTTACATAAATAGTCAATCTTTACATCTTCAGAGTGGAACTGATTACTCTTAGATTTCTCTCAACCAAATCCTAATAGTAAGGTGATACGTAGGAATGTGCAACATATACTTCAACTACCCTGTCCAGTAGAATTCAAATACTCCACATGCTAACAATACTTAGGATACTCTTACGATCACCAACCTGTAAAATATCTGTTTCTTCCCTAATGACTCCTCATTAAACAAACGCAACACAGAAACTCATTTTGTTTTCACTTTTAGGTTGCTAATCATAAAGAAAAAAAATACGAAAAAATAACCCACTAACCTTTATCAATCGCCAACCAAACACCACAGGATGCTACCAGAAATGTTGTAGAATATTTACCAGCATTCAGTAAGTGAGGATTTGCTTTCTTTACATCCATATCTCGATAACGCCTTAAACACTGGGCAAAACGAAACCATGCAGGCAATATCCTCAAAATTGGATCTAAACCAAATAATAATCCTTCACACCGGCAACTATCAGCTAAAGGTAACAACACAAAACATTTAACAGTAAACACGATGTCAAAAATACAAAATTCAAAAGCAGTGTAGACAAATAATAAGTTGTTGTGAAGAAAAATACATAGCAAATACTTAATAAAGAGAGGTATTTCACCCACTACGCGACTGTTAATCTCAAAACAACAATGGACATAGACAGTTTTGTTGTATGCTTCTTTCAAAGTTCATCAGCGAAACACTGGAAGTATCAACTGCGACTCTGAGTTTGTTTGACCACATATATCTGCTTGCGAATGACTAAATGTATAAAAAGTACAGTGTAGATTTTACATATCTAGATTGTCGATGTATCTAGAAGAGAGTTAGCTAAACATTATTGGAACACGATAGCAATAATAACCACGAAAAAAATCGGTAATAGCATTAAATCGACTGTATATATAGTGACAACGACACTAGACGACCTTCATTTGAATATTACTAAAGCCAGTAGTTTAGCAATAATACAAACTGATAAATGAAAGGAAATAGTCCGATTGGTTTTCGAACATAACGAGAGGACAAAACATGTTGACATGTAAGTTGACTGCAGGTTTTCAGAGAGACTAGAAACAACAGTGGTGATGAGAAGAATAAAGTGGAAAACACATCACCAACGGGTAACGCTCGTGAAACACTTAAGCTTGTTGAAGAGATAATTTGTTAAAAGCTGAGATAATTTTAAATGAGTTCTTAGAAGGATGGTACTTCAATAACTTTTCAGGATAAACAGCTGGGATTTTGTACAGAGCACTCTGAGGAGTAGTTCACCTAACCTAAAACCACAATGAAGCTACTCTTCACCTAGTCCCAACCTTAATTAGATGAGGACATCAGTTCCTTAGCACTAACTGACGTTTCCAAAGGTGTCTCCAACCTTAAACAAGGCAAAGCAGAAAGACTATATAGTGTAACCGCAGAGATTATTAGGGATGGTGGCAATGAGTTATTGACAACACTGATCATGGTATCTTCCAGTATATGGGATTCTGAGATAGTTCCAGCGACCACCTGTAAACACTTGATCACCCCACTTCATAAGGAACGATAAAAGTATTCTTCTGACAACCACGAAGGGTCTAGTCTCATTATGATTTGCTTTGGGCAGTTAGGTTCCACCGACAAAGTAGAAAACAGAAGCATCCCATGAGGATCAGGAATCTATTCCCGTTCCATCTACATGATTTTAAAAAGCCATTATTTCATCCATTAAGTACATGAACTAACTATTTTAGAGCAAAGTCGAGATTTTCAAGTATTTGTTTTGCAGGAATTTTGTTTGATTGGTTGAATGATTTCATCATGAGATGACATCAGTTAGAGAACCATTGGAAAACAAGCTGGGAGTAATGGACAGCTGTTTCGTCAGCCCACTTTGGGACTCTTCAGAATTACGCACCCACCACCAGGGTTAGAACCCACGACCTTCTGGTTACAAAACCAGCTAGCTCGTATACCATCAAGCCACTATGTCGTGAACTGGAAGAAGTTAGAATTAATGGGTCACTGGATGAGGTCCCAATTTTACGATGGTTCTCTAACTGATGTCAGCTCATGATGAAACCTTCCAACCAATCAAAGTCGAGATCACAACTGACAGCTAACTACAATGCTACCATCTGATAAAACAAAAGTAAAAAATCCAATAGACCATTAAGAGCAATCGTCTTCAGTTCGATTGTTAGAATACCGGAAGTGGACACACAGCTTACTGCAACTAAATTTTCTGGTTTTCGTGTGAAAAGCAATTATAGTCTACCATACTGAGTTACATTTACAATTTTCACACTTATTAAAATTAGGTCGTTTATAAAGCTATTTGAATGTATACTGACTATGCGAAAGCACAAAGCCCCACAAGAGAATCAAAATGAACGTAGGTTTAACACTTATGCGAAAGATAATGGAGTAAACACTTTTCTCATTAGTTCTTAGAATGTGGAGAACAATCGTCATTATTAAAACTACCTTAACTATAATATGAATAAAATATTCACAAGAGGCAAGCAAGTGTAGCTCAACAAAATAAAACTGTGTTCTCATTAACAGATGTATGTTGTAAGCGTCAGTTTCTTTTCCCAATAACAATGAAATGTTCACTAAACGTAAAAACATTCCAACTGGAATGGTTGAAAACTGAAAAGAAAGCTTCTGTAAGTGGAAGAATCACTGGTGGAGGGGGGACAGGCATATTCTCAATAAGTTTGATGACTAAAGCATGCATCCACTGTGTCTGGTGTACATGTATATGAGGAAAAGTTATGGGCCAATAATTTTGATTTTATTAAATAAACACACTCGCTGACTTCTCGCTGATATCTAAATATTACTATTTTCAAGTTTAGGTTTGGAAAGATTCCATTCATTTGAATTTTTATCAAGTATTGACTTTGGTTAGGAAACTATTTAGAACCAAGGAGTACTGGACAAATGTCCCTTTTTGCTTCAGATTCTTCAGTAGCGAGATCCACCACCAAGTTGGACGTGAGAACAGATACTCACCAATGACATTGGCTGACGGTTGCGCTACAACACAAATTAGGAGAATTTCGAATCCATGGAACATTGTAATCCGTTGAAGTTGTTCAATGGTATACGAGTTCACCTTATAAACTACAGGTCTGTGATTCGATCCGTGGTTGGTCTATGGACTCATTTTGATGAAGAGTGACGAACAAGGACAAAACGTTTCTCAAACCAAAGTTAATTCATCTTCAACATTCAATTTTACCGCCTAAAATCTAGCAATATCATACGTCAAATAAACATCAGGAATTTTTGAAATATTTTTTTTACTTCTTTACGTTCCTAATGGAACATAGGGCTTCAAGCTAGAGCTTTCAATTTTTGGTAGCAGGGGTGTTTCTTTCTACGGGATGAAATTGCTTGCCTCATGCCCAACTTCCCCTTCTTTACCAGTCTTATTACTGGCTTAGCGAGGTAAAGGAGGGCGTCGGCGGCAGAGGATCGAACTCCGAACCATATGAGCCGTGGTTGGCGAGCATTCTACCAGCGTGCCACCGGCGCACACCAGGAATGTATTAGATGCTGTAAAGTGAATTTCATGATTATCAAAAATAACTATTGTCATAAGTATATGTTATTCTGAAAACTGGATAAGTATTATTACTCTGTATTTGCATACTAACTAGTGTGAACATGAATATAAGTAGTACCATCAGCCCCAACGGGCTGATCTCTGACGAAATCTCAGCACGAATACAGGGGGCTCGTTTCGCATTTGTCAGTTTACGCCGACTCTGGCGTAGACGAGATGTTCGACTATCGACCAAAGGGCGGGTGTACTGCTCATCAGTCCGCTCCGTCCTCCTGTATGGCTGTGAGACCTGGCCACTGAGAGTGGAAGACATGAAAAGACTAGCTGTCTTTGATCATAGGTGCCTGCGTTCTATTTCCCGTGTAAAGTGCCCTAATAAGGTGAGCAACATTGAGGTTAGGCGTCGAGTTCTAGGTAAACAGGGGAAATCAATCGACGAAGTCGTGAAGTTACAAAGACTGAGATGGTTAGGACATGTGTTACGTATGCCAAGCCATCGCCTCCCTCGACGAGCAATGTTAGCGGATATAGGGTCAGGCTGGAAAAAAGCTAGCGGCGGTCAAACAAAAACTTGGCACCAGTCAATGAAATCTACAACAGTTGGTCTAAGCCACGTAGGAAGGTGTAGACTTCCTGACTGGTTGGGGTCCTCGGGACGGTAAAAATCTATGGTTGGAAACAATTGGTGACATGGCTCAAAATCGTTCTCAGTGGCCAGCGCAGATGCATCCACTCCCTGTGACTTATGATCTCCAATGAAACTGTTTTGTATTTCTTTATTACTCCTTTGTCTCACACCTCTGCTCACTGTTTCTATTATGCTTTTCTTGTACTTTCTTCTCTTGCTTCGCGTGCTACGCGGAGTGTGGCGACTTGAACTTCCGCACATTTGTGCAAAGTTCTATGTCGAAAACAGACAGACAGACATGAATATAACTGTATGAAAACACAAACAAACAAAAGAAAATAATAATGAGATATCGTAGTAGTAGTAGTAGTAGTATAAACTCCTGACAGAAAAAAGAAAATATGTCAGAAATGCATATTAACCTGAAAGTTAATGACGACACACACACACACGCATTACAATTACTTTATGCGTCATTATATATGTTTGCATTAAAAAATAAAGAGAAGAAAAGAGAAATTTAGTTTTCAAATAAACGAATAGAAGAAATACTCTTAGGGACTATAAAGTAGCATTAATCCTTTTTCTTCTTCTTATATCATTGTTTGATCACTGTTTATAAATATATACATGTGTAAAGAATTGATTTCTATCTTCCTTTCTCTTTATTTTTTGCTATAAAATAAGCCTAACAACATTATCATTATTATTAGTAGTATTACTGTTTGTTGGGTCAAACTTTTAAATTCTTTCCCTTGTGAAAAAAAAGTTTAAACAGACAAAATGTACTTATTTCGCTTCTAATTTGATATTGATCCGTGTTACTTGATAAAAAAATATATATATTGAATCGAAGAGTAGGTCATAAACATTTCCATAATACTTCATAAAGTGCGTTATTCATAAAAGTAGCAAAAAAGTTAAAGGAACACCTTTCGAATCCAGTGTCATTCTTTATTGATAGAATAGTAAAACTTTCTACTCTTTAGTAAATATATAGAACTCCATTGAAGTCTTTGAATTTATAGATTCTTGATTGGATGGTTCAGCGGTAGAACGGTTGTCAACCAGGCCTCATGTGGTCCAGGGTTCGATCTCCACGCCAACTTACTCTCAACCTTGATGAGCCAGTAGTAAGGCCAGTTAAGAGGAAAGGTTGAGCATGAGGCTAGCAACCTCATCCTGTAAACTTCAACACCCCTGCTTTGAAAATTTCAGGCCTCTAGCTTGAAACCCTAGGGTTCACTGGGAGCGTAAAGGAATAAAATGAAATAATGATAAAAAATAAGTGCAT